TGTAAAGAAAAAAAGTTACTTGTTTTTCTCAAGAGATGAAAATTAAGGGTGAATAAAAATACAGTAGACCTTTCCCTTCTCTTTTATACCAATGTTATTTAATTAGCTTTCAGTTTTGATCTGAAGAGACTAAAGCTAATCTTTTAGTCCTAGACCTTGTAATCTTTCAAAACCTTATCAGCCAATTATACTCCAAAGGGGTTAAAATAGTACTAGCTGCCTCATTATTCTTAACTAGGAAATGTTTGGCTTGCTGTGCAAATTTATATTAAAGCCTTTGTTAATGGGGCCAATTGAAAGCAGTGTTAACTAGCTTTCAGCATTACTTAACATTAATACTTCTGTTTTTAATTTTTATCTAATCTATTTATTCAATTTTTGATACTTTGAAAATAAGGTCTAGTAATTTCTTTATTTTCTGAAAGATGGAATCTCAATAAAATGCTAAGGTACCATGGGACTATTTCATAAAATGAAAGGATCTGGTTATTAGGCATCATCTAATAATATCAGTTGTAAGAAATGCAGCATTTTGAAAGACTTAAAATAAGTGCGAAAGACTCATGGACTGACTGCAGTGTCTTTCCAATGATATTGTTACTGGTTAACGTTACACTTTTACTTCTCCTAGTATGTATGTATGTATGTATGTATGTATGTATGTATGTATGTATGTATTTATATATTTTGACTTTGACACTGCTTGACTCCAGACCAACTCTGGGCAGCTCACAATATAAAAAACAAATACAAATACAGTAAGATAAATAAAAAACACCATAAGGGAAATAAATAAAATGGGAATTCCAGACCACTAACATCAAAAGGTATGAACATATGATAAATATATCTAATAAGATATTCCATCTACCGTACCCCACTTCTGAGAATTGGCCTATGGCAAGTGTTTAGAACACCCAGGATTGTTTGATTTTATTCAGAGCTCTGGTTCTCTGCGTTTTATGTTTACTGTAGATGTTTTAATGTTGATTGCGATCTTTGTGTTTTTTGCTCTTAAATGGTATAAACTGCCAAGAATCTGTGTGATTATAGGTTATAAAATCTTATATATAAATAATATTAAAACTTTGATAAAAGGGCCTACTAGCCACTGATACAAGTTTATAGAAATTGCAACCCAATTTATCTAGATTTCTTCCCTTAGATGACTACTGCTTTTATGTGGTTCCTCAAATAAATATAGCATATTATTATCACAAACCAGTGAATCTAAACATATTATCTGTTAAATCACTCAAATAAGCCTAATTCCATTAGATTACTCTGATGGAAGCTCTCTGTATAAACCAATATTCAAATTTAGAGCCAAACGAAATCCTATGCTATCATGATTGTTGTATGACCTAAAGAAAAACTCTTATGTCTACTTTTCAATTAGTATCTCATTTGTTCTGAACTTTAAAAATGTTTTAACCCCTTCTCTATCAAGGTCATCTTCCTTACTCTCTATACCATTAGCCTCAGCCCCCCTCTGGGTCAGGGTCAGGATCATGGGAATGAACTGCAAATTCACTGCTTTCCTCCTCAGCTGGATTCCCCTAGATCAAGTCCTGTATTACAGCTACTACTCCCCCTGCAACTTCTATCTGCTGTTTAGACTGAGTTTCTTCTTTTCTTTCTGGCTATTCCTGCATCCTACCCTACCAGTTTTCCATCCCCAAAGTAGATGAAGCTAGGAAAATGTCCCCTTCTCCCTGTTGTGTCCCTCTTTGTTCTGCGTTTCCCACCACTCCGGGAAACAATCTTGTTCATCCTAGGACCTCCAATTACTTTTTAACGGTTGCAGCCAATGTGGATGGTGTTTCCCTGGAAATTGCAGATGAAACTGGTGTACAAATTGTGTAGCGTGGATGTCTTCCATGATCACTCTGATTCTAGATAGCCCTTCTACTGAATCAGGTATTACAAATGTTTCCCCTTGCATCTAGAGTTCAGAATAGTCTTTGTAGAAAGCCACACCAAATCCTCTGTCTATGGCCCATTTGTATGCCACCTTTGCTAAATCCAGCTATTCATTTAAGAGGCACTGAGCATCTTGCCTCTTCTCAAGGCATGAGGTACTGCGGCTGCTGAAGTTCTGGAGGGCAACATGGGGGTGGTAGCCATAAGTCACCTGAAGTGGAGACATGCCAATGGAAGAATGTACTGAATTATTGTAAGCAAATTCTGCACGTGGCAACATTTCAGTCCAATTATCTTGGTGATAAGAGACATAGCACCTTAAATATTGCTGTAATATTTGGTTCAACCTCTCAGATTTTCCATTTGTTGCCAGATAATGAGAAGATGACAAATGAATTTTAATGTTTAATAATTGAAAGTGGGTTTTCCAAAACTTGGAGGTAAGTTGTGATCCATGATCCAATATCACATGATTGACCAGGTCTTGTATCTAAAAACTTGATCTAAAAGAAGTTGTACTGTTTCCTGAGCTGTTGGGAAGCTCTTGCCAGGAATGAAATGGACTAACTTGGTAAACAGATCCAATACTACCAGAATGCTGGTATACCCCTGTACTGGGGAGATATCAATAATAAAATCCAGTGATACTGTGTCACAGTGGGGTGTTTAGAGATTGCAGCAAGCCAGCTGGCTTTCCAGGAACTGATTTCATCCTGCAGTAGATATGACAAGATGAAACATAATCCCTGATAATCCTTCACACTTGGCCATCAGAAGTCCCTAAGGACTCAATGCTGAGTTTTAAACACTCCCCACTTACTGAAGATGTCATAGTTGTCCTATTGTTATGGCTGAGTAGTAATACCTCTTCCCTCAAAGGAAAGGAAACATAAATGACAATTGTGCAACAGTTGCCCCTCCTTAACCATGAAAGGTGTTTTGCTGCTGCTGAGCTTTAATCTGATCTAAGAGATCAACAGCCTGTGTCCTGACTCCTAGTCTTTCTGGAGGTTCCAGCAGTTGCTCAGTTGCAGTATGGTGGCTGGAGGAAATGAGTAGGTCATGTTTGGGATGTTGTGATAGAGTGATTGGAAGTTTGTTCTGTGAGCCAGGAATATAGGAGAGAGAAAAATCACAAGGGGAAAAAATTGTGCCCACTTGATTTGTCGAGAAGTAAGGGATTGTGCCTTCATCAGGACTTCTAAAATCTTGTGTTCTGTATATGTTTGTATTATGTGGGCAGCCCCTTCCAGAAAGTGCCTCCATTGTTGAAATGCCATTTTTACTGCAATAAGTAAAGTGCCTCCTTACTGAAGATGTCATAGTTTGGTTCGGCTGATAAAAGCAACCTGGAGTGAAATGCACCCAGTAGGGGATCTTTCCCCTCCTCCATCTTTGCCTGTAAGGGAACTGCTCCTGTTGTCATATCTGAAACATCAGTCAGCACTACGAATTTGCAGGTGGAGTCTGAATGCCTGAACAATAGCTGTAAAGTGAAAGGCCTTTTCAATTTTTGAAATACTGCCTGCTCTTGCGTAGACCATATCTTTGGGAATTGAGATAGGAATTTTACATGATCTGCAAAATTAGGGATGAATTTCCAATAAAAGTTAGCAAAGCCTAGAAAACACTGTATATCCTTCACGTTTCAAGGTAGCTGCCACAAAAGTATGGACTATATTTTTGCAGGGTCCATTTGTTTGCCTTCAGTAGAGATCCTATAATATCCTTGTTTAGTGACTGCAATTCATTCCAGTGAAATGGTTGCTAAGCGAACCATGTGACTAAGAGATGCTGTGAAGATTGCTGGTTGTTGTCGTCTCATTTAGATAAAGTTCTCTCGTGTAGTAATGCCAGCATTACTCTCAGTTTGGTGTGCATTGATTTTAGGCGCAGAAATTTGGTCGTAACTGTGTACACTGGTGGGAAAATGATTTTTTTTACTACTGTTTATTACCATCATATTTGCAAAAAGTCACTAACTGAGGTAGTAGCCAAACGAGGAGTGGCTATAGTCCAGTTGAGATAGGTCAAACACACGTTTCTCCAACTTATCAAAAAACTTGTGTTTGCAGAGTCTTTTTAAGATGTTCCTTACTCTATACAATAAGTGACATATGTATGTCACATCATGAATTTTTTATTAAAAATATGATCCCTTATATCCTAGAACTTCATCACATTTTAGAATGAGATTCTAGATTCACAAGTAATGAAGCTCATACAAGCTATCCATTAGCTTCCACTGATTTGGGCAGACTGCTAAAGATTCTGATATCACTTAGGGATATCACTTGAGTATCACTTGGGTCTGGCTAATTACCTTGTGATTCCTGGCTCTCAAGCATCTCATAATAAAATTAATAATAAAGTAAAACTACAGGGTTTCTTATTTGTGCAAGTTTGAAATGTCCAATATTGTCAGCACTTTCAATTACCTCTGCTTTTAATATGCCCAGCGAGAATACAGTATTCAAATAATAATAACATTGATATTTATTAGGCACCAAAAAAGATTTACATGCTAAATCTAAAAGTGCAAGAAGATACAGGTGTAGGATGAAATAGCTGTTTTTTCATGATTGGATACCTTCAAGTTTATCTGAAGGACTGTCTGTCATTTTGTGTGTTCCAACGTAGTTGGCGGGCTCTGGGTCCCTTCTGTTAAGCAATGTCTTTTGAGAGAACCTGGAAGCAAGCCTTCTCAGTCACAGGATCTGCCCTCTGGGAACAGCCTCCCCAGAGATTCAAATAATCCCTTCCATGGTCACCTTCAGGTAAGCCCTGAAGACCTGGCTCTTCCCCCAGGCCTTGGAGTAGGGTGAGTGGAGGTCCACTTGGGGTAGGTGTGTGTTCAAGTTGGTTGTAGGCTTTTCCCTCCAGGTGAACCATTGTTCTTTCCTTGGCTCATTGTTTTTATTATTGCTTGCTGCCCAGAGTTTTCTGGACTAGGGTGGTTTAACAAATGGGACTGATGGATTTATTAAGAAATAAGTAAATAAATAGCTTGAAGTTTTATTTGGGAATGTTATATTCTTTACCTTTTTTTTTTTTAAGAATTGTTAACTCTTTCTTAGAGAACAAGTGGGCAACAAGAGGAAATAAACAACCTGGTACGGAGGAAAATTGTTGTAGATGAAGAAAATGCTGCCTTAAAAAATGAGCTTTGCATCTTACAACAGAAATCTCAAGATGTAATCCAGGAACTTAAGGTATATTGACTTATACATAGTAGTAAGATAGCCACAACTTTGAAGTTGATGTTTAACTTGCCTCCGTCTCTGTGGCATGGAAAGTGACAAGCTCAGAGGAAATATAGCCTTAGGCCTTAGTCTGTACCTTTCGGTTTCCTCACACATGCAGAACTAGAGAAAAGATCCCTTAAAGTGAAGAATCCACACTTTATAACTTTCCAATAAATAGTTAATGATGGAAATGGAGCAAAGAAAGGAGGAGTGTGAAGATGTGGCTTCGTGTAATTAGTTTCTGATGGGACTGGCATTATTAATTGATAAAGCCGAGGTCTGGGAGGATATGTCTGTGTGGGACTCAAAAATAGCTGGGGACAGCATCAAAGGCATTTTGATCAATTAATGGGCTCTTTGCAAATGTGTACTCATCAAAGCTGTCATCCAGCTAAAAAATATGACCCTTCCACCTGCATGAAAGAGGCCAATAAAAGTACACAGGTGACCTTGGCCATCAAATATAGAAGAAGCTGCTGTGAGGGTAAAAACTGCACAGTTTATATTTGCTGATTAGTTCTCAGTTTTTTAAAAAATATTTTCTCTCTTTTTTGTTTATCGGCCCTTGTGGTACTGTTCTACAGGACACCAAGGAGTGTGCACAGAGAAAGGATGAGCAAAGCAGACTGGTTATAAAAAATCTGGAGGAGGAAAATGAGGGATTAAGTACACGCTATGCTGACCTGCTAAATGACCTGGAGAAACTGAGGAAGCAGGAATCACAATGGAGAATAGAAAAGTCTGGCATTGATGCAAAAATAAAGGTATGAAAAGGAAGAGGCTCCTGGATATGATTTCAGAACCTGCTTCTCACAGGCTTTATGCTACATGTTATTTTCTTTAAATAACAAGTTACATATTCATAACAACCAGTGGGGACTGACATTCATTTACATTCCTTCACTTAAAATCCAAAGCTTTTTAAAAATTGATGTTTCAAAGCAAGAAACTGACTTCAAATAGCCATCCTAAAATGTAATTATTAAATAATAAAATATATTTCATTCAAATACAAGCATGCATTAAAAAAAAAAATTGTTGGAAATCTTCCTGTCACTCCAGGATTTCCCCACTCAATGTGATTGGCAGCCCAGTCTTCTGCATAAGAATATAGAAAGACCATTTCTCAAGCAGACCCAAAGGTCCATCTTGTCAAATGTCCTGTTTCTAGTAGTAGTCAGCGTATGTTTTTTTTACTTGGAAGGATTTCTCACTGAAGCTTTCTCTCAGGTAAATACACACAGTGCACAGTGTTTATTTAATTTAATAATGTTCTGCCATGAACAAAGCATGCCATAATTATCCCTAAATTTTGTTATAGACTTCACAGGATCCAAGAGACTGACTTCACGTACAATTAATTTCTCTGTTATAATTTATGTTCAGTGTGCTACCTCTTCCACTTCATTAGGAAGCAGAAAATGTCTTGATGTGTGGCTGTGTGTATGTTTACAACAATCTGCAACCCCAGTGCTGCCTGAGGCCTCAAGCAATTTTTGTGGCAGCTGGAGCACCTTCTGACATCATCACTGAAAACTGGCAGCATGTTTTACCACCATTTTGAGACATGAACTAGATTTCATTTAGTTTTAAACAAAATCCAGGGCACCCCCCCCCCAAATATTGTTTTGCATCAATATATCTACTCTGTGCAGTCTCTCTGTCTCTGTGCACAGTTTATACTTCTTAAAAGTTTGTTTTTTTCCAAACAGGTTGGTTGCTGAATTATTGTACAGTAATGACTGACAGAATTTTTGTCTCAACTATTAACATGATTCTCAGTAAGATCATTGTAAAATGTCTACGTTTTCCTGTATATGAATAATGATCTGGGATATCCCCCAAACATCATGGGAATTGGCCATTGGTAACAATGCTGTAATTTTTTATAATAATCCCGATCACAGAATTTAGAGCTTCCATGACTATTCAGTTCATTTCAGTTCTTTGTGTAGCAGTGTAAGTGATTGTGTACGAGTCATTTGGGTAATACTTCACATATTGTATATATGAGAAAGGAGGCAGAAAGATGGTGGTGATAGGCAGAGGAAGATATAATGGGAGGGAAGGGGCAAGCCACTCTCAGGGAAGGGAGATTGGAAAGTCATTCTGGAAAGTGATTTAAGACTTGGCTCTTCCAGAGGGCCTTGGAGATGTTTGGCATAACGGAATGGCTCTTGATGATGATACGCCAGAAGATTATGAAGAAGTATTTATATATTTGATGTTTCTTACTCATATTGTCTTTTAACTTGGTTACTATGATTAAGGGAGTGTATGGTGTTCAGAATAATTTTGAATTGCAGTGGCATGTAAACCCTAGTAAACAAATATATCTGTAATCTCTTCTGAGTTACAACATCCCTAACTTCTTTTCAGTCCTCTTTACCAGATTCAAAGACTTGATATCTCTCTCTGTGATTCCTCCCAAACTTGTTCTCTTGCTTTAATTTTTCTTAATTATGCCTGGGTTTTCTGCCCTATGAATACTTTTTTATATCATTACTTCTCATATCCTTTCCATCTACTGGTTGTCTTCACTTGATGTTTTACATCTAATTTCCTATCCTCTCCATTTATTCTGTACATTTCCTATCCTAGACTGACAAAGTTCCCCTTTCTTCTTACTGCTCACCCCACAAATGTATTGCTATTTTTTCCAAGGGTGATGCACTAGATACAAAAAATCAGTGTGCTTAAAAAAGGAAGAAGAGGCAAATTATTTTCTAGATTCTAAAGTCTGCCCTTGAAATTTCAAGTCCATCTCTGTAATCCAGGAGTGGGGAAACTATATCACATGGAGCCTTGAGCTAATTTCAACACCCTTCTACAAGTAAGCAGTTCAGATATCTGATAAGAAAGATCAGCTGCTTTCCTGCAGTCTGCTAGGTAAATGAAAGGAAAGAAAGAGTCGTAGAAAGAGAGACAAAGAGAAAGAGGTGGCAAAAGGACAGCAGTTGGCCTCACCTTGTTCTGGTTTTGGCTTTACACACACTCGCTTTGCCACCTCAGCATTGGCTTATGGTCCCCCGGTAGGGAAACTGTATGGGAAATGCAATCTTAGTTTTGAATAGGGAGTCAGCATAGGCATGTGAGAAACCTTTCCTGTTTCTGAAAAGACTTCCTTTAATGAAAAATGACATAGCATACTTGCAGGGTTAGCCACAAAATCAGATAAATCAGTTTTCTCAAAAGCACAGATTTCTGAATAAATATTTTGCAGTACAGTATGTATGCATTATTCCTGTTTAAAATGCTGATTGATTTGCTGTTTATTAAAACTCTGAATGGGCAAGTTTCTCTCATGAAAAGAGTCTAGTTAAGGCTTTGTGGGTGTGTTTTTTTTCACAGAACTGTAATAGTAATTTGGAAACTTTTAAATTTATACGAAAAGACAGTGCAAGTTGAAAAGATTGTGTGTTTCTGTATTTCAGTTCTATAAAATTGGCTTTCTCCAGAGTTTTGTTATCAGTCACATTCTTGTTTTATACTGTTGGAATATGTTAGCTTTTGTTTAGTTTCAGTTTGACTAAATGTTCACATCTGTTTGCAGTTCATATGCTTGACAATCCAGGAATCTAAGACTGCAATTCTATAAGTCCCTGCGAGCACTTCCCTTGGTTTATAAGATTATTCTGATTTTTTCCACTGGAAAATCCCAGTGACCAAGAAAACAAAAAAGAGAAGCAAATGCCTCAATTTTCCTATTTCCATCTTATCCATCCCACTATTTAGTCTTGCAAGAGCTTTGTCATGGAAAAATGCAAATTTCAAACTTAAAAATAGAGGTAGCAAGTTTTTTTCAGTCAGTGACCATACATTTAAAATAAAAGCATGCAAGGATCACCAAAGGGAGAGACAATAAAATGGAGACATCTCCAGGCTTGGAACAGTGTTTTCATTTTATTCATTTTGCAGCTGTGGTTTTTGAAAAAAATAAGTGGCACATATTTGAGACCTGTTTGTGTAGAAGTGAATTAAATAATGCAAAAATATTTTCTTTTTTGATCCATTAGTATTGACCCTCAATTTATCCAGTATTTTCAAAGCTTATGACTTTCTGACATATTTTTTTGCTTGTTTTTTACTTGTTACATATTTGCTTTCCTTTGAATCAAGACCTGATTCCTGATTCACCTACTTTTGTACAAATGAAGAGCTCTAGATTAACATACTTCTGATTATGTACTTCATTTCTGAATTCTTACTTGTTCCTCTTCTTAGTTTTTAAGTATATATTTATGGCCACCTATGATGGGATAGAACAGCTCTTGGGAAGATCCAGAATCCAATAGGTTTAAATTGCATGACACACAAGTGTCTCCTCATCTATTAATGACATGGAGAGCATTGTTGTCATTGCAGCTGAATAGGAACTAAAAATTATTTGTACCACATGAAAATACTATGGGTCAGTCCTGGACGTTACTGAAGGAAGAAGGGTAAAGGGAAGAACAAGCTATCTCCCCACTGATTTGGAATTCCTTAAACAGAAATGCTAGAGTTATTGGTATCTTGTTTGGGTATACAGGGGAGAGGTGTCCAGGTTGGCAGGCTTCCTCCATAAACTCAGCCACAACTAACCTGTCCCTGAGA